TACCTCATGTCTGGAGGAAACCAGACATGATGTAGAGGATTGAGGCTAAACAGTTGAATTTTGGTTTCATCAGATCAGAGAAACTGGTTCCTCACAGTCTGAGAGTCCTTGAGAGACTCTCACTAGGGAGAGTCTTCTGTCTGGCCACTTTGGCATAAAGCCCAGATCAGTGGAGTCATGCAGGGATGGAACTGTTTAACAACACAGAGTAAAAACTTCAAAAGAAATCTCTCATTCTTATTGGGAAAATCACATTTACAGTGGTGTCTTCGTGGTGTATATTTACAGTATGAACAAGAATTTAGAGGTGAAACAATTAGTGAATGAATCAGTTGGTTGATTGAAAATAATCTGCATCCATTTTGATGATCGATTCATCATTTAAGTCATTTTCCAAGTAAAAATGAGAATCTTTCTCACAGCTTCTCAGACATTTTCTGAATTTATGAAAGGCATTTTTCACTATTTTCTGATATTTTATAGACCAGATGTTTGATTTTATTGATTGAGGAAGTGTAATTGCTAGTGCCGGCCCTACGCTGCCTTGCCCCTGTGTCTCACATGACAAAATACACAAATATACACTACACATACAGTTGACATATGGTCAGACATACACATATATATACAGTCATGCCCCTACATGCATAGGCTCTGATTTAATAACTGTTAACGGACTGTCTGACTGACAGCTATGTTGCACTTGTTGCATCGGCCTCAGTTTGAAAATTATTATGCGCATGTTAAAGCCAGTTAGGTCAGACAGCAGCTACTCACAAGTTGATGAAAAATGGTGCACTTTTATTAAACTGTTCTGTATGAAAGTGATCAAAATGAGAAAGTGAGTGTTTAATATAGGAATGATCACAAGGTTTAACTCAAAGTTAAAACTTTGCTTTGCCTGTTCTCTACCATGCCCCATTCCCTAGGGTTGGAGTCAGGTACTTCAGTCCAATGTTGTTAAATCTGGGTGTTAGGCCACTTTAAAGGGTTCATGAGATGAATAATGGAAAAGGAAAGCCATTCTGCTACACAAAGTTCTATTCCTGTTTTAGACTTTACCCCCAATATTTACCTTTTTCTGTGAAATATTGGTTAATTTAACCTCTTCAGCCCTGAAAGAATTATTTAAATGAAACCATCTGAGAAGTTTAGAGGGGAAATCTGTCTTTGGTAAAAGTGTTGACATCCTACATGACAAAGGGCCCAACTTAACATTGTTTTTTTGTAAAAGGTGATCAGCCAAAAAAAAGTTGGAAACCACTGATTTAATCTTTACTAATGTGAGGTATTTTCTAACCTTATCGTACGTTTCAATGTAAAATCTTGGCAAAAGAAAGAAAAAAGTACAATATTAAGCACTGATATGTACACACATACACATGCTAACATCTATACATAATATTCACCATGGTATCTTATTTAGGGCAGCCGTGAACAGACACAACTGCAAAGTAGCATGGAGTAAATAAAGATACCTTTCACTCCCTAAAGAATCACAGGATTTGTTGCACACCACAACAAATTGTGCTGTTTGCGCCTGTCTCCTGCTTCTAAATCCATCTCCAACCAGACATCACTCAGTGTGTGGAAGAAACATGGACTCATGTTGCATGATTGTGAATTCAACAATGGAAACATGTCCTGAAAACTGTAATTTTTCCTCTGTCATACATCTATTTTTACACCTCCAGTAAGGCAAAAAAGCCAAACAGTTATCACAATACATTATTTAGTTAGAGAAATCACTGGGGTTGCATTACTGATCGCAGCTTTGATCAGGTGTTGTAACTAGACACTAATGGAATACAATTTTTTTTTTTTTTAACTTAACGCTCACAGTTTAGACATGGTGAATATTTTAATTATGATCAAAGGTATTTTTTTTTCCAGTTTGGAAGAACAAAGCCAGTAATTTAAAATACATAAATGATAGATGTGTCTTAAATTATGAACCATTTATTGCATGAACTGAGCAGAGAACAATTTTCCACTGGTGCTCCGCTCAGTGGTTTTTGTCGAAGGATAAATTTTCAGTATTTAAGGAGTCAGGAAACGGCCACTTCTGAGGTACAATACAGTTTACCTCAACTCCATTGCCTCAGCTCAAGCCACCATATTGGATGGGTCACGTAATTCCGGCTGAAATGGAGAGCCTTGTCCGGACCATCCAGCCTATTTCTCGGTAATAGCTTGACCGAGCTCCCTGAAGAGGCCAATTCTGGCCAAGCAAGGCCCACTTAAATTCTCCGTGAGACAGAGGAAGAGAGAATAGGGTCTGCGCAGCCACTTAAAAGCCCCTGGGTGAAAATGGGATTTCTGACCTGCTCCACTGGTGCCGTAGCTCTATAGCCAGATTGGCTGTCAAGGCGCTGCCAGGTGGGAGAGGGAAGGGCAGGGGGAGATGGGAGGAATGGATGGATGCTGCTGCTGCTGCTGCTAGTGGTGATGTTGTAGACCGCCAGGACCTCATTAGCTCAACATTTCATCAAACACTTTGGCACCGGTGTGGCTCTCACTGCCTCCATATCTCTCTTTCGCCATCTTTTTTTTTTTCCCCTTGTTTTTATCACTTCTCACTCGTTCTTTTCTTATCTCTGTCACCTTTTCTTTCCCACCTCTTATTCATCCATCTCCCTTTCTTCTTGATCCTTGAAGTCTCGTTAACCAGATGAGCCTGTTCTGCTTGGTAATCTGCCACTAAGTCAAAGTCGGCAGATGAGGATGATAATGACACCCCCACCCTCACACACATCCAGCTACAATCATTTGTTCTTGTTAATGCCACGAAAATGTAAATTTGTTATGGCTGTAAGAATGTAAATAACCACCATATTTCCTCTGGGGAGATATTTCAGGGCACATTAGAGGGCTCTCCACTTCTGGTATGCATGTCATTGATTTTCAGTGCAGGCGTCTATGTGGAAGCGAAGAAAATCCCGGGCCCCACCCACATGCACACATACAAAGTACATGTGCAGCAGCCTCACACACACACACACCACCAACATGCAGAGCCAGCTTAACATACACAAATAGGTCTGTGTTAATGATTTATGTGCATGCACAGCTTCAAACGAGCATGCTGTAAAGAAAAAGAGGCCACGCGCTTAATGGACCACAGCAGACATGTACAAATGGGAGACCTCCGATGTCGTCTCAAGTTGTAGCTGAATCTTTAACAACAACAACAGCCAGACATGTCATTGAAAATAGACAAAATACTATAAAATCCCATGTTGCATTTGCTGGAACAGGCCAAGGAAACGTGTGGTGAAGTTCTTGATGCAACTATGACTCAACTGCTCAGATCTACAGCTCAAACTAACTGTTATTTTCCTCATTGATTAATTGCTTAGTTATTTTAACATTTAATCTATTTGGTCTATAAAACGTCAGAGTCCAAGTATATTCAACATACATATATATTCAAATTGTTTGTTTTGTCCAACAAACTCAAAAATATTCAATTTACTATAGAAGACAAGTGCGGTGGAACCATTTGACTTTTGGCATTTTTGCTTAAAAATGGACATAAACGATTAATTATCTAAAGTTTTTCGTTATTCATTTTTGTGGCAGTGATTGTCTCATGATTAATTTTTAATCACCAGTATGATAACAAGTTTGTTCTATCGGTTAGGAAAACAAAAATTTTGATTCATCATACATACAGTGTTGTGTTATTATCAGTATTCATTTCCTACATCAAATACTACATTCAATGAGCAGTTTAATAGGAACACCTATGGTGTATAGGTGTTCCTATTAAACTGCTCATGCTTGTTTGTGCAATTATCCAATCATCCAATCATGTGGCAGCGGGCGCAATCAATAAAATCAGGTCAGGAGCTTCCATTAATGTTCACATCAAACATCAGAATGAGGAAAACGTGTGATTCAGTGACTCTGACCGTGGCATGAAACTGCTGATCTATTTAAGTCGATAGAGTTTTTAGTCAGATTGGTGCCAACATGGTGCGGCTTGAAACACTTTGAACGGTCAGACAGGTTGGAGCTGGCAGAACGGGTACAGTAACTAAGATACAGATCCAGTCATTACCACTGTGGTGAGCAGAAAAAACATCTCAGAATGAACAACACATTCAACCTTCAGACAACAGCAGAGGATCATGTCTCCACGTCACTTGGCCCCTTAATATCAATCCATCATGGTTTGAATGCCACAGCCCGGCTGTCTCAGTATTGTTGCCTACCATTTGCATCCCTGTGTGGAGAGAACAGGAGATTGGCAGCATGAATGTGCAGCTGACAAATCTGCAGAAATGATGTGATGTCAACATGTCAACATGGAGCAGAAAGGAAAGGAGGGAATGTTTCCAACACAAGGCCACGAAGAACTGAAGCTGTTTGAGGGAGGAACTACCCAGTATTAATAAGGTGTTCCTAATAAAGTGCTCCGTGTATTGTACAGTATGTTTCTCTCACTCTCTCTCTCTCTCTATATATATATATGTATATATATATACACACACATAAGAAGAATTCCACATGAATTCTGTGCATCACAGCAATAGTGTTTGAAGTAAGCACACACTCCTCTGTTGTGTGTAAGTGGGAGAAAGATTTAAGGTGAAGCCTTTGTAACACCCCAGGGTTCCTACCAATCGCAAAGCAATATGACAAGCTACTACACATACCCAGGCGGCTCTGTCGCTCCCTATTTGTCAACAAAGCATTTTCTGCCTCAAACACGGAGTGAAGCTTTTTACCAAAGTTCCCTTAGGTGTGCATTTCTGTCTGCTTTGCATATCCCGTACAAAGCAGGACTTTCAGAGCATTTTGACTTCTGAAAAAAAGTTTGTAGATTTTATTATAAATACGGTGCAAAACTAACATAAACATTCTGCTGGCAGTGCCGCCAAGGGAGGAGGAGGCCAAATATTTGGATGCACGGTAGATATTTGTAAGAGAAAGTACCTATTTTTTTCTCTGTTTACCTCATTCCTGTTTTTTCCTCTCCTGTCTCCATCAATCAGCCTCTGAGGATGCACTGCCAGACCTGCGCCCTGGTGACCAGCTCAGGTCACCTCATCGGAGGCGGTCGGGGTGAAGAGATCGACCGGGCCGAGTGCGTCATCCGCATGAACGACGCCCCCACCGCCAGGGGTTACGCACGTGACGTCGGCCGCCGCACATCACTGCGTGTCATTGCTCACTCCAGCATGCAGAGGGTCCTGCGGAGCCGCCACGAGCTGCTCAACGCTAGCCAGGACACCGTGTTCATCTTCTGGGGCCCCAGCAGCTACATGAGGCGTGACGGGAAGGGCCTGGTGTACAACAACCTGAGGCTGATGAACCAGGTGTTGCCCAAACTCAAAGTCTACATCATCTCCTGGCAGAAGATGCTGCAGTTTGACGAGCTCTTCAAGAAGGAGACTGGCAAGGACAGGTGAGTGTGTTACTGCATCTGTCCTAGTGAATGTGCATGAACTCTGTAAAGAAGTCATTCTGGAGGGAAGTTATTCTGAATTAACAAATGTAGTTACAGTAGTGCTGAAAGAATGTATAATCATTAATTGATTGGTTAATCAACAGAAAATGAATTGTCAACACTTTATCTGTCAACACATCTTTGGATTTTAGACTGTTGGTTGAGCAAAAAATGAAATTTGATGTCACCTCAGGCTCTGGGAAATTGTGATTTGTTGTTTTTTACTGTTACCTGGCATTGTATTTATTAAATGAATAATCTAATAATAGAAAAAAGAGAAGAAAAGAATCTAGCAAAAACAAATCCACACCTCCATACGCATTCTTCTTTTTCTTCCCAGTATACGACCGCTTCCTCGGCTTAAATCTGGCGCATATACAGCATTATTGTAAGATTCTACTTCCACATCTGGGCCAATTCTGGCGCACACAACAGAAAATCGTCTGGCTGTCAGACAGTATCAGAGGATAACAGCCAGAATCTGGCCAGATGTGGACGTATATGGGCCAGACTCAGGCCGAGGATCCAGGCACATGTTGGGCCAGAAGTTTTATTTCAGTTGTTGTCTAGGACTGAGTCAGGATTTTCAGAGTCGATTTGGTTCATTATATATATTTTTCATTTTTAAAAACACTCCAAATTCTAACTGATGTCTTGTCTTCATTAGACCGTATCTACATCTACAAATACACATATATCTTTCACTCTGTGCACATGTAGTGTCAGTTCGGTTAATCCTGAAAGCACCAAAATAAAAAGGCATGAGAGCTGGCCGTCAAAATTCTCGCCTTTGTACTCACAAATCTGTGTTGTTTCTGAAAAGACATTAAAAGCTAGACCTGGAATGTCATGAAAATGCAAGAGTGAATTTTGTTTGTTTCTTGCATGAAGACAGCTCTCAAGGTTAATGTTCAAGTTCGACATGAAATAGTAATGTAACAAAAGGGGGGGAGGGATGAAAGACTCCTCTGCCTGCCTGTGAAGTGCAGATGGCTCAGTAAACACTGCTCCCAGCTCCTGTGTGTGCAACACCTTCCCTCATGCTGAACAGTGTTAGAGGACTCAAATTGAATGAGTCCAAGCTGAGTTCTCAGTCCTGTGAACATTAATGCTTAATGAAAACGCAACCACACACACACACACACGCACACACACACACACACACACACACACACACACACCCTGTTTGTCTCTCCCTCTCTTTGTCTGAGCCATTGTATCGGGTGTCAGTGGAGATTGAATCTGACTGCAGCTTAAGATAGATGTCAGGGGGGAAATTGCAGAGTAGAGGATTTGGTGAATAGCTCAGACATTCATCCGTCAGAATCTGTGCCTACAGTCATGGTAAATGTTTACAGTGAGCAAGCAGCTTCTGTCACTGTTCTTATTGGCTGCTCCTCATCCTTTGTAGCACCAGGCATTAACATCAGTGAGGCTTATTTTGGGTAATTTCTGCTGTGCGGAGCGTGGGAGGAGAAAAGGACGTATTTGTACCTTAAATGTATTAGTTGTGTATCTTTTCTAATGTTTGAGAAAAGTTTAAAGGAAGCTATCAGAACGCGAAATGTGCTGTACCTTCATGGAATAACAATATTTTACTTAATTTATAAAATGAGTGCTATTGTCATTGAGGATTTGGATCCTGTGGGAGAGCAGCATTAATAGCAGAGTTTCTGGGTAATCAACTGTGCGATCAGCAACCCTGCAAGCCTGTAATTGTAATTATGGGTTATGCCATTTCAGTAAAGGTAATTAAGATGGTGTGGGATGATGCCACATCCACCCATTTTAATCACACCGGCAGAGGAGCAATGAAAAACCGGTAACCCCTCCCCCCTCCCGCATCCACAGTGTTAAATTGCAAAGCCGGAATGAGCCTCAACCGGTGATTAAAGGCAAATTAGCCTTTAGAACAACTTTTTTTTTATATTCAGTGTTTTATGTTCCTGTAATGCTTTATTATCATCACTAACAGCTCCTTTGCGGTGCGCTGTTGTGGTATAGTTTGCCGGAATAAAAATGTTTGGGTTGCAGGCCAGCTGGTTAGACGTCATTCACTTATCAAAAGATTATAAGCAAATCTACCTGCAGTGGAAAAAATGCAAGTTCAAACCTTGGCAGTCCTGGAAAAAAAAAAAGAAAAGTTCTGTGGTAAGAAAAGGTCAAAACAGGGAAAAGAGAAGCCTCAACAGGTCAACTGTGCAACAGCTGCCGCAGAAAACAGGAGCCGTCCAGGCTGAAAGGGATCTGGAGTGACCAGAACAAGATCTCTTAGACAACCGGAACCACATGTCACCAATACCACCAAAGGTGTCATATGTCCCATCCTGTCAGGTGCAACATAGGTAACAGGAAAGTGAGGGAGGAGTCTAACAAAAAGTGTGTTTACGTCCATTTCTTTTAGTAGCATTTCATATTTGTGCTTTAAAAAAATTGAGTAAAAATTTGAAGGAAAAAAAAAAGTTTTAAAAATCGGTTGAGGTGGAAAAGTTGTGTAAATAAATAAAAACAAAAAAAGTTGTTAATAAATCATGATGTACATGAAGCATGTGACTTAGCCTATTTGTCACTCAAGCTTCCACTGAAGTTGGAGCCAATCAGACACAAGTATTTAACCTACTGCTTCTCCACTTTTTATTTCCTCTTAAAAAAATTTTGCTTTTTTTTTAGTGATAAAATGTAAAAGCAAAGGTCAAATATTTTCATTTCTTAAGTTTGCATAATAAATCTGTAGTATCTGATTAATGGTATGAAATGAACAAGTAGCACTACAACCACAAAATGAAAACTAAACTGAAGCAGGAGAAAAAGTCTACTGCCGGTGGACAGGAAACATAAGAGAGGACATATAATAAGAGGACTCTGGTAGAAGAAATATGCATGAAAAGAGATAGCAAACAAGGGTAAAAGCAGCTTTACTCTTGACATTTTCACCCCTGAGGAATGGAACAAGAAAAAAAAAAACTGATGCAACAGGAGCGGGAGCTGTGATCAGACCAAAAGCACCATGGTAGTCAAGCAGATACAGATGGCCTTTGGAAAAAAATGGCTTAAAGTGGCTAAAATTAGAAATCAATTTAAAACAACTAAATAAACACTGAACAACTTCACTCACTGCTGAACATGTCTGGTATAAACCTAACACTGTATCTACCTGCTGGTGTTTCAAGTGCAGGAGGCAAAGAAAAAAATAAACTACAACTCAACTCGACAAAAAAAACAACATTTTCTACACTAATATGCATCAGCATCATGTCGTGAAAAGATTACACTGATAATGATGTTCAACAGATGTTTCAGCTTTAACTAATCATCAATCAACTCATCACACCTTCATGTGACCTTTATTTCTCAGCAGTTATATAACTGCCATTACAATAAGCTCAATGACAACACACCTGCTCTTAGGCAATCACAGCATTGCAACAACAAAAACCCAAACAGCAGCACAATCCTCTTCCTCTAATTTGCTCCTGTTTTTTTAATTAGAGCTATATGTTTTAATTATATTAACATGTCTTCATCTCTCTCTGCCTTCAGGATTAGATGTTGTTTTGTTTATTTCAAACCAACATGACTGAGTAGTTTTCTTGTATCAGATGCCATTATTGTTCATAACCAGTAATCTCTTTTATTAAATATGAACACTGTTTGAAAATAATCTCACTTTTTGACAGAAATAAGATTTTAAGGCTGAAGGATCAACACAAAGTTAAACTATTCATTAAATGGGTGCTTTTGCTAGATTTAAAGAACAAACTGTGTAAACATGAGGGAATAACACTGTTCCTCTTGACAGGGATAAATCTGTCTTCCTACTCACAGCATTCTTTCAGTCCTTTTAAAAGACAGCCATTGAAGCTAAGAGCTTGACATTTCACACCACATTATTCATCAGCATGTTCATAAACAAGGAAATATGGAAGACTTCTTAAGTGAGATTAGCTGCATGCATCCTGACTAAGACCTCCACGCATCCACTGCCGAGTGCTTGATGACAAAATGTTGTGCTTTGAACTTTGAAAGTTTTCTAATTTGCAGAAGGTGTGTGTGTGTGTGTGTGTGTGTGTGTGGGTGTGTGTGTGTGTGTGTGTGTGTGTGTGTGTGTGTGTGTGTGTGTGTGTGTGTGAGTCACAGGGCTGTTGTCATATTAAAGCCCAGTGGCTGTGTTTGCATATCACAACAAATCAACATGTTCCAGACAACCTGGCTCCTGTCTTAAAAGAAAATGAGAAATCTGTGCTTCAGCTGCGATAGCATCACTTTGGTTTGACACTGTTGTTTGTTGCATGAACAGCCTCTAATAAAGATGAAAGTCGTACAAAAGTGCATTGTCACTATTCATCTCGCTGTCACTCAGCCAGTGTGGAGCAACTGATGCGGGAGGTATAAGGAAACACAGTAAAACAGCAGGAAGTGACCATTTTCTCCAGCAAACACAATGTTGTTGTATTAAAGGTCAGATTGTGGAGGAATAACAGAGGGGTGGAGGGGGAGAGTTGATGTGTGCTTAGTTCCTGAAAGAGATCAAAATTAAGGCTGTCTCTGCAATCACTCCCTCTTTAATATCGAATATATAGTGCACTATATTTACCATCTGCCATTTTATTTAAGTTTCCAAATTCAAGAATGACATTTATGCTCTTTATAATGCCCTCAGAAACTCCCACAATGGAAGAAAAGTCAGTGGCAAAAACTAAATAATGATGCAAATTGACAATGATTCAAGTGTTTGAAATGTCAATTTACTGCTCATGATAAAGTATTAACTGTCTATCACAGTATATAAGGTGAAGGGAAGAAGTAAACAAGTGAGTGATTTTGTCTGCAGCTACACCAACAACACAGTAGATTGCTAACGTGCTAACACTGGCATGCTAGCAAGCTGGAGCCATGTTAAGAGGCATGTTAGCAACTATTGTGTTTTAGAGATGTTAAGCTTCGAACGCAGAAAAAACAGGGAATTCTTATTTACTTTTCAGCCTTTCCACTTTGGGTTCAGTTTGTCTGCTTCCTGCTGACATCTTGCTCACATGCTAACAACATGTTAGCTAAAATTAATTTATGAACATTGAATTTAACTATATTTTCCACAAGTCTGTTCAGATAAAAAAAAACCCATCTAGACCAGATTTACTGAAAGTCTTTTAGTTAGGACCATATTCATTCATTTATTTAATATCCTGAGATTTCCCAGATATTTCACTTTAGATCAAAGGGTTGGACAAACCAACATGGCACCACAGCACTAGCATGGCTAAAAATACTCAGAGGTGTGGACACAAAGCCTTGCCAGCCCAACACAGCAGAGTATATTTTAATTACACTCAGGGGTCTTGTCTATAACACCCCCCTGAACTCCTTTCAACAAACTGGTAACATATCCTCGCCTCCCTACAGCTTTCCAGGAAGATGCATTTCTAATCCGCCATTCCCCAAACAGGGGAAATGTTCAAAATACAAATGCTAAAGAGGCTTTTTTTTTTTCTTTTTTTTTTTTTGCCTGACGTGTATCCCCCTGCACTGTGCTCTCTGTGAGAGAATAAAAGAAAGAAAGTCTGAACACCTTTTCAAACAACTGGGTAAACCCTCCACTGCACGTGTGTCACCCTCATCAACCGCAGCGGAGCAGGGTGTCGAGGTGCCTGCCTGGCTGTTCTTGTCAAGACTTTTCTTATCAGGCCCGGGCTTTGTTTCTCTAACTTACAGAGTTAAAAACCTGAGCCACTGTGGATGTTAGCGTATATATGTGTGTGTGTGTGTGTGTGTGTGTGTGTGTGTGTGTGTGTGTGTGTGTGTGTGTGTGTTTGTGTGGGAACAGACAAGAAGCAGAAACAAGCTTTCTGAAAACAGCAGGGTGAGAGTTTGATTATTTAAAAAAATATATGTTGACCTGGAAAAACCATTGCTAAGTAAATGACTAACTTTTACCCATTTAAAATGTATTTATTTAAAGTGTTTAGAGTCTAATTAAAATATAAACTACTAATTAGCCAGCGTGCCTCCATGGATGGTAATGTTGGTCTGCTGCTTTAATCCAGGCTCAAGTATCTCAACAGCTATTGGATGGATTATCATGAAATGTGGTGTAGATATCCATGGTGCACAGAGAATGCATCTTACTGACTTTATTAATCCCCTAACATTTCATCAAGCTCCTATATTTACATTTAACAATAAATTGAAAAAGGTACATAATTTGTCATGTACGTATGGTATGTTCATGATAAAATCCCAATAGTTTTATTTTTCAACCGTTAAGAAAAAAAACATCTTCCTCTGCCCTCGTCGAAAATAATTTTCTCCCCAGCAGTCTTTATTTCTTCTGCCGTCTGACAAAGTAAAGAAGTCTGACAGTCGGAAAGTTTTGTCCTTTTTCTGCTCCAACCTTTAGCATTTTCTGATAAATTCAACAGCACTTCTTGCAATAAAACGAAGTATGTAGGTCAAACTTTAAACTCTTTGTATTGCTCTTATTGTTCTTCATACTGAAAACATCATTGAAATATTCACAGTGCGGGCTGGAAAACGTTTCTGAACCCCTCGGCTAATGACATGCACAAAAGCTAACTGAAGTCGGGAGTTATCAAACCTGGAGTCCAGTCAATGAGACAAGACTGGCGGTTTAAAACATTTTGAGTCTGCTGCTCACACGGAGCATCTGATGATGTGAAAGAGAGATCTCAGAAGACTTAGGATCAAGCATTGCTGATTTGCATAAAGATGAAAGGGTTACAGAGTGATTTCAAAGAGTTTAGATATTCATCAGGCCACAGTCAGACAAACTGTCTATAAATGGGGATGATTTAGTTCTGTGGCTGCTCTCCCTAGAAGTGGACGTCCAGCTAAGATGACTTAAAAGGTTCAACGCAGAATGATCAGTAGAAGAAGCCTGGAGTAACGGCTTAGAGGAATCACTGACGCTGGTTAACATCTCTGTTCTCAAGTCTACCATACATATGGAGTTTAGTGTCCATGGCGGGACATTACGGAGGACGCTGCTTCTGTCCACAAAAAAAAAAAAAACATCACATACACGGCAGTAGTTTATAAAGAGCACCTTCACACTCCACAACACCACTGGGAAAATTGTTTTTCGGACTGATGAGACTGAGGCTTGGGGAAGAACATGCAGCACCACATATGGTATAAAAAAGGGCACTGCATACAAACATGAAGACATCCTGACACAGTGAAGTACAGTGGAGGGAGCGTGATGATTTGGAGATGATTTTCTGCCTCTGGGTCTGGATGGCTCAACATCATCAAGGGGAAAATGAATTCACAAGTTTATCAAGTTATCTGATGTCGGGGTGGCTGTCCACCTGCTGAAGCTCAGTAGATGCTGGGCGATACAGCAGGACGATGACCTTAAATATTGAATTAAATCTTTTGGAGTCAGAGCCCAGACCTTAACCCAGTAGAGATGCTGTGGAATGAGTCAGAGAGCCACACCTAAAAATATGTCTGAGCTGAAGTAATTCTGGAGGAAGAATGGTACAAAATTAGTGTTATTAGTGTTTGTGTGTTATTAGCTTAAACACACATTGTGTTTGTCTACACTTAGATGAAGGTCAGATTACATTTTACGACCAATTAATGCAGAAAACCAGGTCATTCCAGAGGGTTTCTTGCCACTGTAAATTAATGTGGCAGCAATTTACCGGTGTCAGAGCACTGCAAGTGGCACTACTAGCCTACATCTTTAACTATTGAATAAGGAAGTTAATTTAATGTAATTGCTGTGCATTAAGTAGAATTGATTTTATTTTCCTCCTTCACTGTTAATTTCTTTTCTTGTCTTTCCATGTTGTGAGCAGCTTGTTGTTGGCAAATTGCAACACAACAATGGTGCTTAGAAAATTACCTTGTTGGAACAATTATATTCAATGCTGCATCCATCCATTGCATCCATCCTATTTAATATTTACAAAGGTGCCATCTCAAAAAGCACCTGATGACTGATGCATGAATAAGTCTACTGGTCACCAGTCAAAATCCCAGTCAAGCTGAGGTTCGGCTGCCGCAGGGGGAGCATGAAGAGATCCACGGCTGTGCCTGATTCAGCTGAAGGGTTCAGATATATCCCTGCTGAATTTTTCATTTTAAACGTGTTACATCAGCTCTAATTTGAATATTTTCACACTTTGTCCGTGGAAACGAGCAGTAGTTGTGATGCATTTTTTTTTTCTCACTGAAACTAATTCATAAATTGATTTGATGAATATTGATTGTTCCAAAAAGGCTTTGGACCACAGCAGCTAAACCCCCTGCTTGACAGTGCTTGGCAGTGATTATAGCTGTGGCTACAGGCCAACAAGCCAGAGATCAGCATCGTGACATCTTCTGTCACTGCTGCATTGTGAAAACAAGACTGAGAGTCCACAGCCACGCTCGCAGCTCTGTGAGGCTGTTAGGCATGGCAGCGCTTTTGAGCTAAATGCTAATGCTAATCCTAAAACCGTGTGGGCATGTCAAGAATGTAAGGTAGTTCATTGAAAAAAAAAAATCCTCCAAAGGTATATATTATTATATACTGTGATCTGAATGAAAGATGCAAATGTTTAGGTGAGAATATTTCCGAATCTTTTTTCGGTTAACTCTCAATAGGACGTATTTCGCTGTCAAAAAACCTCAGAAGAAGTTTTACTTATTTTAGTTTAATTTTGATTCAAGTTGTTTTCACTTTAAACTGAGGGTTTTCATCGCCCTTTAGAAACTGTGCAAGTTTCATGACTCTGGAGCCCATTAGATCTGCTGGAAACCAACAAGGAATTCTTAAAAATGCATGGTAGTCAGACTGGAGTGTTTTAGTTCTTTCTTTCTTTTTTTCATCTGACAGGAACCCTATGAGACAGACCTGATGGGCATTAAGATTTAGAAATATTTTTCTCATGCAATGTAAATATCATTTCATGTTTCTTCCAAAACAACATATCTAAGAAAACTATAATTAGTGCTCATTTCTAGCTAGCGCTCAATAAAAGTGTACGATCAGCAGTTGAGGTTGTGTCATCTTAACTATCTGCACTACATGCAGACCAAGGCTACTTTCTGATTAAGGGTTTGATTATTTGACAGGGTTCATTTGTATCAGTCGATACGTAGGATGGATCTGTATTTTAATGAAGCTGTGTGGGAACTTGAATGATCTCACAGTCAGGAATATCGACCTCTGGATTTAGATAAATCTTTATTCTGCCATAATACACCAACATGAGCTTTTCTGATTATCTACCCTCGTTAATCACGTTCAAAAAAATCTAATATGGTGCAGTTTTCATCCTTGTGGTCTCCCACACATGAGATCCATCTAACTGTCTTTTCTCTCTCAATCTCTCCACCTCCTCCTCCTCCTCCTCCTCCTCCTCTCCTCTCCTCTGCAGGAGGATATCAAACTCCTGGCTGAGCACCGGCTGGTTCACTATGACCATCGCCTTGGAGCTGTGCGATAGGATCAATGTCTATGGCATGGTTGCCCCTGACTTCTGCAGGTGAGACAGTGGAGCTGAATGTAAAACATCATCATGAGCTCATCAGCAGGCGCCATCACCAGGAGTTTTTTAAAGCTGTACTGCCGCCTGATAAGAAAGATTAAAACTGTAAATATATTCAGGCAGCTGATAAATAAAATGTCAGTGTGTCTGGAGATGTTTTTGGAATGCTTAAATAAGTCAGTAAACAGTAAACAAGTCAGTAAAACATCTAGATGAGGCCAAGTGTTCAAGATGTTAAAATTTCACGTTAATTTTCAATTCTATGTGCAATGTGAGGCATGAGAGGTGGAATAAGCAGAGGTCTCACTCCGCTCCCTTTTTTTTTTTTGGCTACCACTAACATCAGTACACAGTGGGCCAGAGTGTGTTAACAATGCAAAAGTGGGGAAATATGGCTTTATCCTGCAGATGTCGGTTTGAATATTAATTAGAATACTGACAACACTACATATAAGGTTTATAGAGGCAAGCAGCTTTGAGTATCAGTAGACAGATTTCCCTCCATTGTGTCTTTTTATGGAGCCTGGTCATCAGGGAGATTGAGCTCACGAGGGCTAATTCCCTATGTTACTTAAGCTAGTGTCAATCAAGCAGTCTCCCTTTGTCTCCTTTTTGCTTCGTCCACCGCTTTGGTTTGGTTTTATTTGATTTTGCTGCTGTGTACAATAACCCCACATCATGTTTTTCACCTTTCATTCTGTGCCCATTCCACAGCTGTGGTATCAATAAAAACACCCAACAACTGACTGACACACAGTGGTTGAGCAGCTGCTGAGGGCTGCAAAGGACAAAACAAGTTGTCTCTCCCCCAAAATTCAGGCAGAAGAAAGCTGCACTTCGTTTTTTGACCCTTTTTGTCCTTTTGTTACGATATAGTCTGGATTATTCAATATGGAAATGCACATTTGACAGGATCCAGCCCATGAACTGGACGCACACTTAAGGGATAGTGCCACATGTGCAGCCCAACGTCAGGACTCTTTTTACTGGAGCGATTCCTCTATCAAAACAGTTTCTAAAAGTGTTTTTGGTCAGGTTAACACTTCCACTCTGATGCCGATTCTGATTAGAAATTAAGAGGCTGATTTTCTCTGACACCCAGCCGACTCTGTGATTGTTCATTCTTTCAGGTCAATGCACTTGATACACACAGGATCTTTCTGTTCCTGTTCTTCCACGTTTCAGTGCAACAGCTAACAAAAAGTGTCACCCTTTAACAGATGGACACTTGTGAAAAGATGTAGCTTTATTTACCTGGCAACAGGCTGCTTAACTTTGCAGTAGCATTAATTATTGAGAATTAGTACATTGGCGTTTGAAAACTCATGTCAGCTTGTGATGGCAAATGACAACTTTTCATGAAACCGCCTTGTTTTTAAAGGTGTATTCCACTGATTTAGTATTTCACATTTCATTTATGTGTAAAATTGGTGGAGTGGCTCATTAAGTTTTGACAATGCAGTTTTGAGTTAATTAAAATAGGGTGATTTTGGCCTAAGCTGTTTTTTTTGGGGGGGGGGGTTTTAACGCATGGAGGAGGATTTGATCCAAAAATATAATCTTAAGAAAAAGTGAATGGCAATTTATAGATACAAGGTTTTCAGTGTCTAGAGATGAAAAACAAAAATCAGTTTCTCTATAGGTCAACATTATTAGAAGCTACTTAGTGGGTGAAGCTAAAATGAAACTTGAAATATTGACAAATTAATTGCAAAATGAATGCCTGAAATATTTTGCCACGACATCACCAAATACAAGAACCACACCAACTGTAAATATAGCACTGAAGTAAACGCCTGCAGGCCAGCCGTTATGTGATATCTATACACATACGTATATAGATAGATAGATAGATAGATAGATAGATAGATAGATAGATAGATAGATAGATAGATAGATAGATAGATAGATACTTTATTTATCTGCTAGGGGAAATGCATGTATATATATATTTAGATATTTTTTTCAGAGCTTCCATAGATCCCTGAGCACACTTTCCATGTCACTTGGCAACGCTAAGAATCGGCCTCTTGTAAGGAGGGAGCCACCATGACCACGATGCTGGTCCCGTGCAGCAGAAATGCAAAGAACCATGAGATACGTAGCCAGTTCTGCCTCCGTATTGCGCCTAGCAACCAACTCATCCTGCCTCATTAGGAGAGTTTAATGGTTTGAATTACAGCTCACATCTCCAGCACCTCAGTCAACACTTAAACTGGAGGATTTTATTGGACAAGGAACAAATCTTATTAGATTTCTCAATAAAAAAAGAACAAACTGTAAAATGTTCAGCCTTTGTTTTATCCTCATACTTAGCTCCCATTGATTCAAATTATTTTTTATTTTGGGTTTCGGCACAAATTCAATCTTGATGATAATGAAGAGGGAATGCCAGTTCATTTCTCTCAGCAGTTGCTGGCTTAAGCTGATGCTTAGTAATCCTTTTAGCTCTCGAAACAAGTGAAGTCTGTAGATCTTACTGGATGTGATCCAACTGAGAATTCAAAAACCCATCTCTCTCTCTCTCTCTAACATCATGTCAAATATGCTTTATTGATATGAAGGGTGATGCATCAGTGGTAACATTATCAGGGATATCTGGATGAAATTTCACTTTTGATTCCCTCCCACTCTCTTTTCTGCTTTTTATTTAGTCCTCTTCCTTTTCTCTCTCTCTAATCCTCAGAGGAATAGTTTTTCATGCTGTTAAGCTGCTGCTCTATGTTGCTGTTGCTTACATTTTTTTTTTAACTACCATGCTTTCTTTCCATTTAAAGAAAGAATTTGAAAAATGTGATTCGCATGAATGAAAAAGTGACCTCTTCCAGATTCCCAAGTCACTTTTTGTACCATAATTTTAATTTACTGTCCCGGCAGCACAAGCCTCGATTGCAATGCAGTTTTGAAAAATGCTGGAGCACAGTGGTGAGGTGCATATTTTCTCCGGCTGAAGCTTATTTTTGTGGCGTTTTTGCCTTTTTTTTTATTTCACTGTGAATACGTGCAGAGAGACTCGAGAATGACAAGAAAAACTCCCTGTCAGGTTTTTCAAGACATCGTGTTTGGTATAAACCTTAGACCGCTGAATAATTTCATTGACTGAAAGTTTCACCAAAAGTTTAACCAAAGGCAAATCTCTTGTGTGTGACATTTTGGACAAACAAAGGAAACAAAAGGAATATTCTCCCTTATCTGCCAGTGCAGACACTCAATGTTCCCAAAACTTCAAAACCAACATGATGATGTCTCTGGAGAAAAGAAAAAAACAGTCGGGACCGGCATTTGTAGTGTCTGCATATGAAAGACCAACACTTGTCCTGAAACAAAAATATCCCCTCTTGCTATTGAAGCATTTTGAGAGAAGCGTACATACAATTTTATTCTCTTGATAGCGAGATTCATTTGTTCTTGCTACATTGAAAACTTAATGGTGTCTGAAATACATGCAATCCAAGTCCTGAGGTACATGGACTGGCCACACTCCATGTGTACAGATATGGAAATGTAATACATATAATGGGTTATATGAAGATACATAACTATACACTATATATGAGAATTAGTGCAGATGAAAATGCTGTAATGCAGAGAGTGAAATGCCTCATTAATATTGCAGTGGCATCTGAGATATCACTTGACAGGCGGATTAGAGAACAGTGTGTGAACAGTGTTATCTGCTGGTATGAAAAATCTAGGAAGGAGAGAAGATTAACTGAATTAAGATTAACAAAATTCAAGGACCTACATTGTTTGAAATACAAAAGGTCTAGTTTCATCACCACAAAATTAATTGAAAAAAAAAAAAGGAGTTACTTCATTAAGGAAGGTGAATTATGCTCATCATCATTAGGGTTGCCTTTTACAATTTACAACACATGGCCAGAAGTATGAGACTCACCTACAGGAAATCTTAATGCTACAGCATACAGTGACATTTTCACACAATAGTGACACTTTGTGGCAATAATTTGGGGAAAGCCTTTTCTCAACATGACAATGTCCCAACACAAGCATCGACATATATTTGGCCACATCATAAATACTCTTACCACCTCGTGTCCTCATCCCTCTTCTGCTAAAAGTTAAAGCTAAAGTTCAGCCAGGACACTCACATTAAGGTTTTCACTATTTATTAAAATACACATTATATTTTGGTGTTGTGTTTGTGCTCATATGATGCTCTGGAAAATATTTGATAAAGGGAATACAATGACTCTCCCTGACCTCGTACTAATACTCAGCAATAGATGAAATTCAATGACATCACACTTTTCTAAATGCTTTCAGTGTGTAGGGGCTAAAATCTGGAACAGCTCACCACATGATGTGAAATCCTCACAATCTATTACTTTAAAAACAGGTTTAAACATGTATTTAATCTAATGGAAAGTGAGGAGCTGGGTGAACGGGTTTAGTATTTTAGTGCAATTTGAATAATGCTTATTACTGTATCTGCTGTAATGAAATATGCGTCAGAGCTTTGAGTCACTGATGTTGCAGAGGCGCAGCAGGCCATTTATTATATTATTATTTGTTTTTAACCATTGCATCATTTCCTATTATCAAATTTTACAAATTAATTTAACACATCTTCTGAACTTTGTATCCCTTTTAATTGAGTCTTACCAATACATTAATATTGCTCTGAAAAATGCATGCTGGGTAAGTCTGGAGATGCAGAGGCATGGTCATCTCTCCCTGTAACTTTCTTGGAATTTCTGCAGCGCAGGCACTTGCCTTTTTTTTCAGCCAGGTGTGCCATGATCTGCTCCGTTCATTATGATGACATGTTTTGCTGCATAATTAATATTATGAATACTTTGAAAAGTCATGTTTTACCTTCTGCAACACGCAGACAATGGAACTTCATTGGCCACCTGAAAAGTCTCGTAAACAAGCAAGTTTACTTGCAAATACATACGTATCGCTAGGCTATCATTAATTAATGATCTCAAATTTCCACATCCTCCGCAGTCTGTTTATCTTTGCATTCAAGAGTGGTTCTCACATGTGGAACCAGCCGGTGTGAGGAGGGGGAACAAGAGAGATAAAAAAAACCAAGGTCAGAAGTGTTCCTGTTGCTTTGCGAATCCTAGCTACTCTGTCTTGAAATGACATCACATTTGTCAATCATACCTGCTTGAGAAGGTGAGTGCAGGTAAGGGAATGAATCCAGTGTGATGATTGGTCAAATTCTTCTTCTTTTGCTTTGCGGTAGGCTTGACACTCGTTGGTGTAGACTTTAGTACTACACAACTGGTGAAATTCACAAGGTGACACCAGCTTTTTGAATACTTTAGAGTGACAAAATGCGTAGTTTGGCAGGTCTGTGAAATTATTAAATGACTACTCAATAGGCTACGGTGACCCAGACAGGTCAACACAATGCAAAAGCCACAACATGAATGCAAAAGCAACATGTATGCAAATTAAGCCACAACACGAATGCAAAAGCCACAACACAAATACAAAAGCTACAACGCAAATGCAAAAGGCACAGGACGAATGCAAATTAAGCCACAACACAAATGCAAAAGCCACAGCACAAATGCAAAAGGCACAACACGAATGCAAATTAAGCCACAATGCAAATGCAAAGGCACAACATAAATACAAAAGCCACAACACAAATGCAAAAGCCACAACACAAATGCAAAAGCCACAACACAAATGCAAAAAGGCACAACATGAATGTAAATTAAGCCAAAATGGAAGTGTGTAGTTGAGATCAAAATGAAGAGAGTTCAAAGATGGGCTGCTCTGATCCACAAGTACTCAGTAGTCGTGTAATAACGTAGTGTTGACTACTGAGTACTCATGGATTGAAACATCAACATATTGACAGGTGTCGTGGCTGGTGTGATCCCATGCTAATATGGTCTTTAGTAAGAGTACTTTTCAAAACTTTATTTATTTGGCTTTTTCATTCAGTGTTAAGCTGCAGGTGACATTTAAAAGACATTAAAACTAGCTAAATTTGGCTGCATTCGCCCTGTGAAGACAAACAGGATGCAGATCAGTCCCCGTCCCTCACCACAAAATGAAAAACATTATGATGTCAGCGTCTTTATATGTTATCTCTCTCTTATCTCCCTCTCCATCACTGCAGAGAGCCTCAGCATCACTCCGTCCCCTACCACTACTACGAGCCTCGTGGTCCAGACGAGTGTGCCATGTACATTTCCCACGAGCGTGGACGGCGGGGCAGCCACCACCGCTTCATCACAGAGAAGCGGGTCTTCGCCAAATGGGCACGGACGTTTGACATCCACTTCTACCAGCCAGACTGGAGCCCCCCACCTCTACCAGCCAACCGGACGCTGGAGGGAACGGTCACAACGGCACCCCCGGTAACCCAGAAGACGTGACCAGTGTTGGGGTGAAGAAAATGCTGTAGAGATTCATGTCAGAAGGACTGAGGATGGGGTGCTGGACCCTTAACAGGATGGATAAAACATGAAGTAGGCATGAAAACTAATTACCACAGATGAAGACTGACTCTTGTTGATCCTGCTGGACATTTGTTAGGAACATTTCTCCAGCTCCACCACTACAACTCCAGCAGTGTGTTTTGTTTACTGCACTGAACTAGTTCAAAGTTGTACATCCTTTTTTGAAAACCTTGTAAAGTGAGGTTGTACGAGAAGGCATCGTCATCACACACTCCACTCTCAATGCATGCAGTGTCTTACTGTTGATCCTCCAGTTCTTTGTGTATATGTGTGTGCGTGTGTGTGTGTGTGTGTGTGTATGCATATGTTTACCAGAGGAATCACAGGGGACACAAGTTGGGCTCTCCACAAAAGCCTCTGTTGGATGAAGGCCGTATGCAGGATTCAGTGCTTACGGCCCATTGAAAGAAAAATACCACTACAATGCCCATAATCCAACAATGTAATGCTTGGGAGAGTGTGAGCTGAATAGTAATAATAGTGTAGCCTGGTTTAAATTTTTGCTATTTGACACTATGATCACTGTTCAGACGTCATATTCCTCTGTGGTTTTCGAAGATTGAGGAGTTCAGTTTTGGCGACATTCTTTAAACTCCTGTGTCATGAAACAAGGCTCAAAGTCGTATAAATAACTTCCCTGACTTTCATTTACACTGCGCATTGGATATGTGCATTGAAAGATCACTAAAGGGTCACCCAAGCTAAACATTGCAGTGACCATTTCCTGGCTGAAGGACGAGTGCGTAACATTCACTGAGGTTCTATCTCATGCGTGTGCACCTCCTCTGGCCGCCCATACATATGTATCATAAAGGCTTCATCGGCTCCTGTCACCAGTTAATAGTGCGATTTATATAGCAACAAGCTGGATTTCCATGTAATGCACAGCCATGTCACAGAAGACAAGTGGGAGATTAAGATCGAAAGCAGGGAAGCAGCGTCTGCATCCATCCTGCTATATTCATCGGCTGCTGCCTCTGTGAGCCTGAATCACCTCGCGAGAGAATTACACCGTTTGGAAGAATACCGGGTTTTCTATTTTTGTTAAACTGATAAGTATATGATCTGTCACTCTCGCCTCTCTGGATTGTGTTTTATGTGCACTCTCCTGTCATTTGATGGAGTATATCCTACATGTATACTGCCCCTTCTCTCTGTCTCTGTCTCACTCTGAGATCCTCACGTTTTCCTCCTCTCTGCTCCGTCTCCATGAATAAGAATCAGGTTTGAGTTAGAAAGTGATGAGACTTGTGGTTAGTTTAATGATACATCCTGATTCTAAGTCCCTATTGGTCTTGCCCTCATCTCTAACGTGAGTAATGAGAGGACAGATGCTGTGGGTCAGATACATAGGTGCTCCTGACTCCCATCATGTTTCCTCTGTGATGAGGACACGATTGCTTTTCACACTTCAACAGCTGCAGGAGTGGTGCTACTGTACGTCGCCTGGTTCTGAGTGCTGCTGACTTTGTACTGTCGCAAAGACCAAGGTGTGTATGTGTGTGTGTGTGTTTTCCAGAGATGTTGACTCATCTGCGAATGGCCGTGTGTAATTGTACTTATTAACAAAAGTTCCTGCCTAATTAACTCTGCACTGAATCACAGAATGTTATTTAGGGTTGCAACTGCTCATTATTTTCATTCTCAATTCATCGTTTGGTCTAGAGAATGTCAGAAAACAGTGAAGAAATGTCCATCACAAGTACCCAGAGACGGAAGTGACATTTTCAAATCACATTCCAAAACCCCAAAAAATACTCAATTAACAGTGATACAATTTTTTTTCTTGATTATTAACTAAATGGAATTGTTTGACATTTTGGGAAATAGTTATTCCCCTTCTTGCCAGGAGAATGAAATGAATACAGACGTGCCTCTTTCTTGTCTGAACAGTAAAAAAGTAAATCATGAAAAAAGTCAAACTTAAAAATGACAGTTGGCCATAACCCTGCGTAGGATGACTAAATGTTTTTACACCTCAGCTAGTGTGTGAAGTGTTAATTGGTGAGACTTAAAGCTGCTGGTAGATGGATTTAGCTTCCCTTGGACAGAGTGGGTTAGCCGTTTTTCCATTTTAACTCTTTATGCCAAGCTAAGCTAACTGGCTGTTCACTTCAGCCACATTTTACTGTATAGACATGATAGTGGTGTCAATTTGAACATCCAACTCTAGCCAAGAAGGAGCATTTCCCAAAATATCATACAATTCCTTTCAGCAATTAATCATGTTTCACTGCTAATTCATTTTCTGTTCCTCAACTAATTGATCGTGTCAGCACTGATGTTAATCTGTTTTCTTGTCTTTTGCACATAATGGAAAATGTCATTCCACTCAATAAAATAATTTTTATCGGTTGTCTTGCGATCAGGCTGTTTCTATATTTAACAACAGAATGGTAAAAATGTGACACAAAATGAACGTATTTCCTCCTGTATTTGTAAGCAGTAGCCCCAAGAAAGGGAGACAAAACATTGAGGTTTTGAGGAGGAAGGGAGGCCAGTGACTCACCTTCACCCATCACTGATGGCAGCTTTCAGTTTTACTTTTCAATCTCTCTTCTTGTCTGCTCACGACATCAGGCTGTGTTATACTGAAATAATAATGAAAGACAGGAAGCGCTACAAGGTCTTCTCATTACTCCCCAGAGCTACAAATAGATCCCTGACCACATTCGTAACAGAGGCGTAGGGGCATATTTTTTGTATTTGAAACAGTACTGCCTCATCACATGAAGGCAAGGGATATAGATCAAGGTAACATTAGAAGAGGATGAAGGGAAACCAAGTATTCAACAGAGGGTCATGAACACTTCAGTTATTAGACAGCTTAGCCTTTACCAGATCAATAAATTGTACTTAATATGCATTGAGGAGGATTGAAGGCTCTTTATACAACAATCAGCCACAACATTAGAACAGGTAATTGGTTTTAACATTGTGGCATATCGCTGTATTTTTTGACTTAGTAAAGCCATGGAAAATAATTGAAGATACAAAATATCTCTTAAAATCACACTGCTGATGGTTCAGAATGAAAATAACTATGAACAGGGCTGAAAAATAACTGAAGGCTTCTGTCTTTATCCTCCTCTAAAAGACACTAAAAAAATAAGAGTTATTATAATAATAGGACTGTAACCAAGTTATTTTCTCTTCTCTTCTTTTTTTTAAATTAATCAACAAATTGTTTGGTCTGTAAACAGACTTTGTGCAGAGTTCACTAATTTGAGGATTTATAAAGACCTTTTTAGTTCCACATAAAATACAATTTAATTAAAGAATCACTCAATATATAACAATTATTTCTAATTATATTATTAATTTAATGCAACCTGGACCCAGATAAGAGACAAAAAAAGAACAGATAGACAGCACCAAGAAAACAAAAAAAACAATTAAACTTCAGCCTCCTGCAGTGTAGCGTGTAGCCTCCCCCGACAAATCATCTGTCAGAAAATACTTAACTACATTTGACACTTTGTAATACCCTCTAAAGGTCTTTTCTTTGGGTAAAACTTAACTTAATGTTTTTTCTAACTTAAAAAATGCCCCCAAATGCCCCACAGTGCAAGAGTTATGTCAGTCTAAAAACCCAAAGATATTCAATTTACACTCGCATCAAACAGGAAAAAGCTGAATAACATGTTTACCATGTTTGCTTAAGAAATTACTTAATCCACCTGGTAATAGATGATCACACATGATACACACTAAAAATGAATGTCTTACAAACAAATTAGCACCTGAATCACCAAATTGGGAATTGAGCATGAAAGTTCATTCTTCATGGAAATAGTAGTTTGAGAAGCTGATAAAAGGGATCAACTGTCACTAAAACTACTGTTTCCAGAGTCAAAACAGAACTCCAGTCTCATCAGATTTAACTTTCATCACAGGATCTAACACATGACACAGCACATGATTTCCTATCATACAAATGTCGTTTATATCAAGCAGCCCTTCATTTGAATTCTCTTTGCTTTCTTAGTTTACACTTGGTGTAAAATCAACTTTGCATAAATGAATGAATCTCAAACAAAGCAATCTGGACAGAGAAGAGGAAGCTGTTCATATTTATTACTGGGCTTTCTGCCCAAGCCACCTCCAGAGTGTCAGCTTTCCTCTCCTCTCCTTTATTTTTGTCCTCTTACTCAAAGTTTAAGAAAAAGCCACATGTTAAATTTAAAAATACAGGAAGCAAGTGCTGCTGACGGTGATTTATGCCACAGCTATTGTTGCAGATGAGAATGAAAATCTGTCACTGCTAAAATTACTATTATCATTCCGGAGAATGATTGACATTACAAAGGCTCACTGACAGTCAAGCAGTGGGAAATCCAGAGTTTCCATGGAAATTGGACAACCTGTCAGGCGCACACGCTGTCTCCAAACACCATGTGTGCGCTTGTGTGTGTTTGTGCGTAAATCATTAAATTTAGCAAGCTGCCACATGGGGCTAATGTCGACGCTCCAGTTCTAAAAAGACACACAGCATACGTGTGCACTCACCAGCGAACAGCGACACTGCTCATCGTTTGAACAACCTGTGTGACATATTCAGATCATCCTGCCTGGCGCTTCAGCCTGAAATCTCTCTTCCTCTGTGGAGATGGCTGCTCTAATATTGTCCTGTGACTGGTTTCTCTCCATCTAAGTCAGGTGTGAAGGATGACACTGATCTTTATTATCATAAAGAAACCGTAGTTACAGAGGAGAAGGGAGATTATATCACCATGCGGGAAGGTGGAGTGCATTCAATTCCATCTGGCAGTGCCAAAGTAGGAACGAGAGGCTCAGGAGGAGATCAAGTCAATTTTGAAGTGGGTTTAAAAACAAACAAATCCATCTGAGATACGCTGGCTTTAATTTTTATTGTATCTGCTGCCAGCCTGGTTTACACACTGATTGCATATTGAGGTTTGAATTCACTGGTTGCTATGTCTTTTTGAAATACAAGACTGGAAGGGGAAGGAAACTGCTTTTAAAAATCTCCCTGGATTGTTTGAAATGTTTCCAGTAAGAGAACAACAGAGCAGGTGTGTAAGTCAACTCAAGCGGCACCGATTTCAAGGATATCTTTGTGGTATAAAATAAGATTAGACTATCAGCTCTGCCAGGCATACCTTCAAGGATATAACTGTAAAAGCAGATCTCGACTTTAAACAGCATTACAGAGTAATTAAGGAAGCTCAATATCTTTCAAAAAAAGGTAGTTAAAGACAAATGTATTCCTTTTGATTTTGTGTTTAATCTTTAATCGGAGCATCAAAAATCCTACCAATTGAGGAAATAAAATGTGCTTGCAGTCTCATAAAGAAGAGCAGGAGGAATGCGATTACAAGAAGTAAGAAACGGGACGGAAAAAGGAGAAAGAAGAAATAAGTGTTGCATAAATTATGTATAAGAAAAGGTAGATGGGGGCTGACGCAGCAGCTGCCTTCCGATACTTATGGTTTCATTTCTAACTCCATCTATTTTCCACTTCAGACGCGAGGGAGAGTGGCGGCGCGCACCCGATGGGTGGGCCCTCGCGCCAAGGAGCAAAGATAAACTACCAGCGGTTCAATTCAAATGCTTTGAGCATCAGTCACTCCGCCCCCCCCCCCCCCCCCCCCCAACAATGAGCCTAATGCAGAGTGGTTGCACATAAAGAGAAAGGCAGAGAAGAGAAAAAAAAAAAAAAAGAAGGGGAAAACACGTCCCAGCATAGACAAGATTCATTTGGGACAGCCGGCAGCTTACTAGGTTATCACTCACTTATCGCTGCTGTAGCGCGAGACGCAGAATGGCCGGGGAAATAGCTGTCCATCACCCAGAAATACAATCAGCAGAGTACAAGGCTGGGGAGCTAATGGATGTTTCCACAGGGAGGGCAATTTGGTGAATGGGAAAGTGGATGGGTCCATCATGCGAGATGGGATTATGTGCGATTGTTATCCTTCACAAGCGTGATATGACGGTCAAGGGGTGTAATGTATATGGACAGTGGAGACATTAAATAGTAATCTCTCCACGGCCCACTCACAGCCAATCAGCCTGCCCTCATCCCACATTTTCCTTTTCTGACCGAGCGGACGTTCTGAGTAGCACTTAAACAAAAAGGCTGCTGCTGAAATATGCAGAGCAGCGTGCTCTTGAAAATAAATTAAATTCTTATCTGCAGACTCAATTCAGTGCATTTATAACCAAATCAACTCGATTATGCAATGGCTTGACAAAACAGAACTTTTGACACAAAAAAAATAAATAAGTTTCAGTCCTTCAAAAAAGACACAGTTAAGAAAACTGTTTAAAATGGCAGTACCGCTAGTGGTATGCTCATGGAGAGGAGGGGCTTTGCATATTTGATGCACCACTTTGAAGTATTTGTCCCTTCTTCCTTGTCACAAATGAAATAATTCACCAATGTTTACATTTCACCAATGGAGAGCAGTCATCCCAAAGTAAAAGTAAAAAAAAAAAAAAAAAGAAAACAAAAAAGGCACCAACAGCATCCCACAGTATCTGGACAAGCCGTTGTGGTGCCATACATCTTCTTTGTATTTTCAGGAAAATAAGCCCGTCACAAACTGCACCTTCCCTCTTCAGGTCTGCAGCTTCAAGTCATCACGTATCCAGCAGCGTAAATGCTGAGGCCTCAGAAGATGTGTTTGAGGTGCCTTACGCCGTAGGTCTTGAAAAACACCAGGAGGATTAGAGTCCACAGGCCCAGGATGAAGCCATCAGGAGGATGCCAGTCTTTCTGCTTTGGTTTCTGAGGGGAGGGACGGGGGGGGGAGGGACGGGGGCAAGGTAAGGTAAGGTGAGGTGGGGGCATTGGGGGGATGAAAGGGGAGAGGAGCGGGGAGAGATTGCAGGTTAGTAATAGTGTGTATATTTCTCCTGTTGAAGCCACGGCTGATTGTCCTGTCATTCACACAGGCAGGCAGCCGCAGAGTCACACATAGGCTCACTTTATCTCTACAAACACTTTATGTACACTATCTGTTGTCTCACACATACAAACACAGAGGTTCGCACAAAAAAGCGGGTGGTAAAGCTCATCAGTACACCTCCCCTGTCTTGTGTTTGTCCCATTCACTGCCACATCATCACTTTGTGTATGATTATACTTTTAAATCTCGCCCATATTAAACATGCATCTCACAAGGAGCACATTTATATGCTAATGTGGCTGCAATATTCTGCGGAGAGATGAGATTTAACCTCTAAAAAATCTTTCTAACTCCTCCGCTGGCGACAAAGCTACAGATAGGCTGTGAGGACGCACTTAAGAGATTTCTGTTATCCGTCGCTATACAAGCTGTCATTATCCAGTTGGGAAATCACCAGTCAGAAAAGGCATCCCCTAAAGCCATAACCCCAAGACTTGGCAAAGAGGATGAACACAGCACGCACTCCAAGTCTGCCTGAGTCATAAACTGTACACACAATGGAAAGATCGTCACACAGTACAGGAAGAGCTGCTACACAAGTGCTTGAGAGATCTGTCTCTCTCTAGCTTGCCTCAGTGCTACTACAGTACCCAGTGTATATTTTCTCCTTCTCAAGCACATCCATATTGACTTGACACACTGCAGTAGGAGCTGGAGCCAGACTGACAGACCCCGGAGGATTTGACGCAGGTGTGAAGGCCCAGTCCAGAGTCTGGCAGTCTGACTGCAGCCAAAAAACAGGATACAAAGTTACCTGCATTGCTGCATTATCTGCAACCTGCATTAATCAGTAACTGTGATACTGAAATTATCACCAAAAATCTGCAGCTTTTTAGCCACTTTGTTTTGGTTTTTCAAGTAAGTTTTAGTATTGGTGCAAAAACAAAAATAACATCACCACGATGAAAATAAAATCCAGAACACCCAGCCCTTGACTCACATTAATCAGGTGGATAGAAATACATCATAATACACATAATACTGTCACCTTAGAAAATCAGAGGTCAGGGATGTCTGAGCTTTATCTCTGAACCAGTTTTAGTTTTTCTGCCCCGTACTGGCCCAAAATTAATAACTGCACCTTATGATCGGATACCCAAGTATCCCTCATTTAGTTTTAGTGTCTAACAGCATCACCAAATTCCTTAATTTCAACCTAGACCAGTGTTTGACAGTTCAGCTGTGATGCAGAACATCAACAGAAAGCTGGAAGAAAACTTCAGGATTTGGTGGCACTGTTTGGTTCTATAGGTTCTATAAAATAACCAGCACGTACCTTTTTAGTGAGCTGACTGCAGTACAGATAGAGAATCCGTCTAATCCTGATGACTCTTGCTATTTCATTGCTGAAACTGTCTAATTGCCTTGCAATTTATACATAAATTGATCTGTACAACTTGAGCAGATGTCTAACATTTTGCTGGATTTCACTTTTTAGAAAGTGATAACTGCTGAATTGGCATAAGTACAGTGGACTCATTTGCTGTATTTGTGAATACAAAAATAAAAGCCTGGCGCATTCTGTAGAGTGTGTTAATATGTGCAGTTTGAAATTACCACCCACTGAGCACCAAATGCCAGTAAAATGTGTTTTTCGCAGCTAAAATCTCCACTGGCTGAGACCGTAACACTTTAACACCTCAGTTATATTCAGTTTTTCTCTCCCTGCTGACCAGTGTACACTCTCTGTCCTTCAGCCAATCAAATCAAAGCACAACAATGGCTACGTTTCAAACAAGCTGTTCAATGGCTGACTGTAATTCTCCTTCTGCACAAAGCAGCATTATCTCAGCTTGTGAAGAGGGGCTGATGATGAACTTGACCCACTGTATAACACAGTGAGTTTTAAAATAACACACTGCACCTGATCCTAATCATGAAGAAGCATTTAGAACAGCCGAGATTACATGTCTCTTAATGACTATCAATTGCTTTGGCAGGTGAAAATTACTGTAATTTCTTATTAGTTTAACAGCTCTTGGTAACTATAGCAAAATATTTATTTCAGGAACTGTGCGTGGCTGTGTACTTATGCCTCCCTGCAACCTCTGTGTGCAGGGTACCATCCTCTCAAGGCTGTCTTTTCAATCCAAACTCCTGGTTACGTGACGACGCTGCCAATTTCTAATGTAGAAAGAGTGAGGACAGCGAGTAAAATTGGATTATGTCTGACTCAAAATTTATTTAACAGCTCAATCAAGTCAAATCAATAGAGCTCTGCTGCCCGGCCAGAATGCTAAAGCAGAAACAGTGAGGCCTTTGGATTTGACATCAGCCCAAAGGCAGAGTGTTGGACAGAGTCAAGGCTGGAAGTCCAAAGCAAAGAGCTTTCTCATTTAAAGCTGCATTCACATGGTATATGTTCATTATTATTTTCAGCTTGCATTAATTTTTCATCGCCCAACATTGTCCAACAATAACCAGAGTTGAAAGAGTAAAAGAGAAGACTGCAGTAATATTCAGGCCTACAGGAATTGTGGCACGAGTCGTGTTGTGAAATGGAACAGTCTTTCACTCGTCTTTCCTACATACAGTGCATTCAGAAAGTATTTAGACCCCTTCACTTTTCTCACATTCATACAGTCTTATGCTAAGATTCTCTTTTTTTTCACAAATCAATCTATCAATCAGCAAAAACCAATCCATGAGGTCAAAGTATCTGAGAGCTCAGACACAGGATTGTGTCGAGGCACAGACCCGGGGGAGAGGACAAGATCAGTGGCCTCATTCTTAAATGGAAGAAGTTTGGAACTGGATGCCAGGCCAAACTGAACAATCAGGGGAAGAGAGCCGGTGCGGAGATGGGAGAAACGTCCAGAACGACAACCATTACTACAGCACTTCACTGATCTGAGCTTTATGAGTCTGAGCAGAGTGACCAGGCAGAAGCTTCATGACAGCACGTAACGGAAAGTCAGACTGTGAGAAACAAGATTCTCTGGTCTGATGAAACCAAGATTGAACTGCTTGACCTCAACTCTAAGCCTCATGTCTGGAGGAAACCAGGCCCTGCTCATCACCTGCCCCAAACCGTTCCAATGGTGAAGCATGGTGGTGGCCAGCATCGTGCTGTGGGACTGGGAGACAAGATAAACAGAAGCAAAGTAGAGCGATATCCTTAGTGAAAACCTGGTCCAGAACGCTCAATACCTCAGACTGGTGCCGAAGCTTCACCTTTCAATAGGAGAATGCCGCAAAGCTGCAGGTTATGTAGTGGTAAGAGCTCAGGGCTTTAAGAGACAGTGACTTCACTGAACAACACAGACAATGGAGAGATCTCATCTCAGGCCACAGATGGGACATTTATGGGAGATCTGAAATGCGCACGACTAAGTTGGAAAATTGATGTAATGTACTTCCACACATCAATCAGGATTATGTATTATGAATCTGAATCAGATTCTGATGACATATGACACACAGTGCTATTGAAGCAGTTTTTGATTGTTAAATTCTTCATGAGTAAAAACCTAAGGATGTTATTTTATCATGTTATTAACTTGTTGTTTGTGTAGTCATGAGTATTCAATGGTATTCAAGAACTTCAAAAATATTTAAAGTACTTAAAGCCCCTCAATATCATTTTTTGTGGGGCTTTACAAAAAAAACGATTGATGCAGTTGGCAGTTAGAAGATGAAATGTGTTTGTGAAGGCCATTTTGAACAACAGATCCATCAGTTTGACTGCACAGTGGTTTGCAAGAAAACAGGATTTTACATCAGAGAAACCAGGATCAAATGGCTGGTCTCACTGCACTGAATGGGAGGGCTACATTTTCGACACAAATTTCATTCTTTCTGTACGAAAACAAAGTTCACTTGTTGAACAAAGCCATCACATTTTTGACTATTATAAGCAAGGACTCCAAAAACATGAGACAAAGACATTTTTTGTTGCTTTGCTTCTATATCTGATGTACCCCTCCCCTAATGTTTGCACAGCACAGAGCTTTGTCACACCACTTTTTAAACAGTGAAACTGGACGGGATCCAATTGTCATGATCAGTGCGTTCGCTCGTGGAGGTGAAATAAATCAGCTCTGAGCTTTGGCTCACTTTGACACACAAATTATCATTATTGACAAATCTTGACGGTACCGACCTCTGAGGGAATTAACAAGTAGTCACAAACTTTCCAGTGATATTCCTTTCTGCCATCCAGTGCAGTTCCTGTTTACATGCGCGTCCAGATTCATATAATATCTGGAGTGCAAACCTTGAAGGAATTTAATAAAAAGATATGAAGTGTCTTTTTGGCAAAATGGAACTTTTCACTATATTGTCATGAATGATTCCAGTGAATAATTCTTTGTGAGAAATCTGCTGTCTTCACCTTAGAGACTATTATTACAGTGGAGTACAAAGGACCAATAGAGCTTTGTCACAGGGTACAAGAGCTCACAGTGGACTACCAGAGAAACAGGAGGACCTCTGTCCTGGTTGATATCCAGGGAGAGCCGTGATTTCTGATTGGTTTTCAGGCTCTTGACTTTTAGTGACTGTGAGGAGAACCCCTCACCGCTTTGAACGCCGGTCAATTTTGAAATGTTTGTTCTTGCTTTGTTGAAATAGAGGCTTAAACCCAAATCCCAATTAAATTAGCCAACATGCTTGAGCTGTCGTTCTCCATGTTTTCCTGTGTCAAAAGGGACACAGGGCCATCACAACAGTGATCTGTCCTGTGGCAACGCTGACATAGTCGTATGAATACTGATCTGACAGTTTAGACAACTATCACATGGCCACTGATTCCAAACATAAATGTGGTCCAAATGATAAATTCAGTGTTCGTTTTTCTGCTGCTACGTCACTACAAGCC